TGTCCGGCAACGGATCGCAACCCTCAGTGTTGCCCCCGTACCGGACCGGGGACCGGCAACGGGATCGCAACCCTCGGCGTTGCTCCCGCGCCTCGCTCAGCCAGTGAGCGGGAACCGGTCTGTATGTGGGATCCGAACCCTCGGGTGGGAGCGCCGCCGTGCTTCCCAAGCGGCGCACTGATCCAGTGCGCCACCGGGCCGGCCCAGATTTTTAATAATGCTGTTATAGGGCTGTCCTGTCGCTCACGTGGTTAGAGCACAGTGTTGGCAATACCAGCGTCAAGGTTCAGATTGCGATACCAGTCAGCTGCCAAAAAATAAAATAATGATAATAGTGCTGTTGTACTTAAAGGGTGCCAAATTAACGAGCTGTGTGGTAAAATTGTTTAATTTCAGCTTTGTTCCTTTGTGGATAAACTCACAGCTCAAAATAGACAGCTGGAGGATGAGCTGCAGGACCTGGCAGCCAAGAAGGAATCAGTTGCCCACTGGGAAGCTCAGATTGCAGAAATCATCCAGTGGTATGTGCTCCAGGGGACGGGGTTAGCGCATCCTGGAACCTGCAACCTGCTCGGCGCTCGGTCCGAGAGGCTCTCGCTTGCTCCTGCCCATCTGTCTGAGTCTGTCTTTGACACTGTGCTCTGTTTCTCTGAATCGCTACTGTCCGGGGCAGCAGTTCTGTCCAGAGGTCATCACACGGGACTAATGGTGGGGAAACACCACCACCAACCCCCTGCAGGACTTGGGGCACTCCTTCTTATTCTCAATGAAATGGGCAGAGAGCTATCGAGACAGACTACATGAGGGCCCAGGGGGATTCAGAGCAAGCTGGGTACTGTCCCTCTGCTCACAAAGGCATCAGCTTGTCATAGATGACTGGCACTTGGGCTAATGCAGTGCTGTGGCATTGTCTCCCAAGGCGGGTGGGAAATGTTCACCTTCTTTTTTGGCTCCTCCCACTGATGGTTGTGCTTCATAAGATGGGACATCTGTTCCCTCCACTAGGGTCAGTGATGAGAAAGATGCCCGGGGTTACCTTCAAGCTCTTGCTTCTAAGATGACCGAAGAGCTCGAAACTTTGAGGAGTTCTAGTCTGGGATCAAGAACACTGGTAGGTTTTGTTCTAAAACCTGCATATTTGTTATTAAAGAATTAAATAATGGTCTTATTGTAAGTATGAATGTGATGTTTAAGTAGGGTTTAGGTAACTCCAATGATGGGAGAGACTTTTGTGTGACCAGTGAACATTATTCCAATTTGAGGAACTCCAACATTTTGTCAGCTATCAGGAGATCAGAGCTTCTTTTGGTATCATTTGTTCATTTAGCAAAAAATTGAGCACTAAGCTCTTTCATGGTCGTAAGTTAGCAGGACTGGATTCTGCCCTCAAGAAGCTTCGTTTCGTTAATTTGGCTGTCCGTCGTTCAGGTGGTGATCTGTATATATATATTTTTTTTTGTCTTTTTCTGTGTCCGGCAACGGATCGCAACCCTCAGTGTCACCCCCGTACCGGACTGGGACCGGCAACGGGATCGCAACCCTCGGTGTTGCTCCCGTGCCTCGCTCAGCCAGTGAGCGGGAACCGGTCTGTATGTGGGATCCGAACCCTCAGTGGGAGCGCCACCGCACTTCCCAAGCAGCGCACTATAGCAGTGCGCCACCGGGCCGGCCCTGTATATTTTTGAACTCCTAGCTAGCATGCAGCAGGCATCAGGCTCAGTGGAGCTTGTGTCTCAGCCAGGCCTGGTCCTGGGCGGTAGTGGCCCCACGGGGCAGGTGCTTCTTGCTACCATTTTTCTGAGTCTAATTTGCCCTTAAAAAAAAATATGTATGTGTAAGTTATTTTGTGAGTAGTTTATAGAAGTAAGATTAGAGGGATAGTGAAAATAATATAGAATTTTATCTAGAACTTAAATTTAGTAAACCCAAATTTTTATATCACGTTTTCTTGGTTAGAAGGTATATTTACCCAAAAAAGGGAGCACCTTCGAATGCAGTTAACTGCTCCTCCCATCATGTGTGAGCCTGGACACGTGCACCCTGTAAGCACTGGTGCCGGGCCTTGCCCAGCCTGCACGGCCTTGGCGCGTCACCACTTCTCACTCTTCCCTCACTTGTGTCATCCAAACGCAAGACTTTCAAAATGTTGACAACTCATCATTCTGTTGAAGAACAGAATACAACTATATTCTTTGCTTGGTAATGGGAAAACATTTTCATTTTAGATTTTAGATTTTTAAAGACCAATTAGAATGATCAGTGAATAGGGCTGACTGGTTAGATAACTTGGTTAGAGCGTAGTGTTGGTAACACCAAGGTCAAGGGTTCAGATCCCCATACTGGCCAGCTGCAGAAGAAACAAACAAACCCCCAAAGAATGATTAATAAATTTCTTTCATTTCTATTTTCTCTTTTCTTCCAGTCATGTTTACATATAGATGTTTACAGTCATGTTTACCTGCACTTATGAACTGCATTACATAAATTTTGTGCATAAAATCTCATAAAAGATTAAAGTCCTTTTAGCAAATTGGGATGGTTGAGATTCTTATTGCAAAATACTTTGTAAGCAGTCCTATTTGATTAAGGACTAACTGGAAGAGTTATAAGAGTACATTTTCTTTTTGTCCTTAGAATATGTATGTGTAAGTTATTTTGTGAGTAGTTTATAGAAGTAAGATTAGAGGGATAGTGAAAATAATATAGAATTTTATCTAGAACTTAAATTTAGTAAACCCAAATTTTTATATCACGTTTTCTTGGTTAGAAGGTATATTTACCCAAAAAAGGGAGCACCTTCGAATGCAGTTAACTGCTCCTCCCATCATGTGTGAGCCTGGACACGTGCACCCTGTAAGCACTGGTGCCGGGCCTTGCCCAGCCTGCACGGCCTTGGCGCGTCACCACTTCTCACTCTTCCCTCACTTGTGTCATCCAAACGCAAGACTTTCAAAATGTTGACAACTCATCATTCTGTTGAAGAACAGAATACAACTATATTCTTTGCTTGGTAATGGGAAAACATTTTCATTTTAGATTTTAGATTTTTAAAGACCAATTAGAATGATCAGTGAATAGGGCTGACTGGTTAGATAACTTGGTTAGAGCGTAGTGTTGGTAACACCAAGGTCAAGGGTTCAGATCCCCATACTGGCCAGCTGCAGAAGAAACAAACAAACCCCCAAAGAATGATTAATAAATTTCTTTCATTTCTATTTTCTCTTTTCTTCCAGTCATGTTTACATATAGATGTTTACAGTCATGTTTACCTGCACTTATGAACTGCATTACATAAATTTTGTGCATAAAATCTCATAAAAGATTAAAGTCCTTTTAGCAAATTGGGATGGTTGAGATTCTTATTGCAAAATACTTTGTAAGCAGTCCTATTTGATTAAGGACTAACTGGAAGAGTTATAAGAGTACATTTTCTTTTTGTCCTTAGAAGTACCTTGTTCGGGCCGGCCCGGTGGCGCACTGCTACAGTGCACCGCTTGGGAAGCGTGGTGGTGCTCCCGCCGAGGGTTCGGATCCCACATACAGACCAGCCGCTCACTGGCTGAGCGAGGTGCGGGGGCAACACCAAGGGTTGCGATCCCGTTGCTGGTCCCGGTCCGGTACAGGCGCAACACTGAGGGTTGCGATCCGTTGCCGATCACGAAAAAAGAAAAAAGGGGAAAAAAAAAAAAAAAAAAAAAGAATTACTTTGTTCACTCAGCACTTCTCCTAGTGCGTGGTGTCTGTCTTATAAATGCATATATGAAAATTCTTTTAGCGCGTGGCCATCTGAAGACCCACTGAGATTTCTCTCACACTGTCAGTTCCACGGTCATCATTAGCATCTGGCTACACCACCACTGTCTCTCCCTCCACTTCTGATATTCTGATAACTTATGAAACATCTTTCTCTGTCAGTCTTCTTCTCTTTACTGTTAGGAGTGGAAAATGAAAAATTCTCAGTTGTGTTCAATGAAAGCTTAGAAAAACGTCTATCAAGCTGGCATCTCCAGACTTCTTTTCTACTTCTTAAAAGTCCACATGACCCATGGGCAGCTGAGTAAGGAAAGCGAGGAGTGGCACAGTCGAGCTGGTTTATGTGACTGTTGCGTCCTCCTTCCAGGCCGTGTCATGATCTTCCCTCTTCTCATTGTTTTAGTCTTTTATCACAGGCAGGATCGAGTAATGCCGTAATTCCTAAGATGATGAAATAGCAAAACGTCTCAAGACATGGGAAAAAGATAACTGAGACCATATAATGTATCTTAGGTTTGTAAAAGTGTCCAGTGGACCCATGTGGAAATTGCTCTCTAGAATCAGTTTTATTCTTCTAGAGAACAAAGTGAATTTACTTTCTAAGATTTCTAAGAAATAACAAAAGTCATAAAATATCAAAATTAAAATTGGGTCTGATGGACCTTGATAATATCTGGAGGGGTGATATTTAAATATAACAGTAAAGATTTAAGATTAGACAAAGATGAATTACTTATTTGTTAGCATTAATTTTTTCAACAAATGAATAGCTTACAATGTATTTTTAATATTTTGACCAACATCTAAAGGATCCACTTTGGAAAGTTCGCCGTAGTCAGAAGCTGGACATGTCTGCCCGGCTGGAATTGCAGTCTGCTCTCGAGGCGGAGATCCGCGCCAAGCAGCTTGTTCAAGAGGAGCTGAGGACTGTCAAAGACACGAACCTCTCCTTTGAAAGGTACTGGATATGTGGTCTAACTCTCTGACTCTCATGGGAGCAGGGGCCTGTGGGACCTGGCCAAGCGCTGGGCAGGCCTTCCTGTCCTTATCTGGAAAATGGGCACACAGTGCTGCTGGCCGTGTCACAGGCACGTGGTGAGGGTGGTAGGTCAGGTTGATGTGAAAGAGCTCTGAGTAGTGTGAAGTTTCTGGTACTTAGTAGGTGCTTAGTAAGAATAGGTTAGATGCGTGTGCAGATGTGCCTGGCCTACTGGGGGGGCAGGACAGTTAGTGTTCTCAAGAAGTAATAAGAACAGTGGGGGTCTGTGGTTTTGGAGTGTCAGTGTCTCTTTCCATGTGTGCAAGGGGGACCTGTCTTCCCCCGTGCTGGCCTGGAAATGACATTAGGAATGTGAGACACTCCATTAGGGCTTCATGAGATAAATCATGACTATTAAAATTTGTGGGGTTTTTTTTTGTCTTTTTTTTATGACCGGCAACGGATCGCAACCCTCAGTGTCGCGCCCGTACCGGACCGGGACCGGCAACGGGATCGCAACCCTCGGTGTTGCTCCCGCCCCTCGCTCAGCCAGTGAGCGGCCGGTCTGTATGTGGGATCCGAACCCTCGGCGGGAGCGCCACCACGCTTCCCAAGCGGCGCACTATAGCAGTGCGCCACCGGGCAGGCACAAAATTTGTGTTTGAATGTTTATAATTTTGAAATATTTGTGTTGCTCCTAATGTGCTCAGTAGAAAGGCTTTGTGTGTGCTGAGCATCTTGAGCATCTGCTGTGTTCCAGCACATTCCAGGTGCTGAAGAGAATCCCCTGCCTTCACACATGTGACACGCCCTGAATCAGCACCTGGATAACCTCTTCTCAGTGCACTTAAAGCTATTTATTTTTTTTATTTTAGTAAACTAAAGGATTCTGAAGCCAAAAACAGAGAATTATTAGAAGAAATGGAAATTTTGAAGAAAAAATTGGAAGAAAAATTTAGAGCAGATACCGGTAAGTGAAAATCATAAGGTTCTGAATTATTTAAATATAAGCCTTTTTTAAGTGAATGGTTTCTTTTGTTTTTCTTCAGATTTAGTAGTTTTTTAGTTATACAAAGCACTTACATATTTCCAAAGTCAAAATTTTGAAATGTTACATTCAAAGATAGCTTCCCCAAAGGTAACCACAGTGTTTGGTTTACCCTTCCTTTGTTTTGTCTTGAAAGCATACAGCAGACACATGGGTGTGGTTATACATTTGTCTCCCCTGGATTAAATAAAAGGCAACATGCTCTGTGCACCATCCTGTGTTGGGGAGGCCACTAGAGCCGGGCACATGGAACCATTCTGAGCTCTTTACAGGGCTGCACCACGCATCGCTGTGGCTATGCCAGCCCCTGTGGTGGGCACTGGGCTGCTTCCAGCTTTTGCTGTCATAGAAAGTGCTGCAGTGAGTAGCTGTATGCATAGAACATTTCATGTTTTTTTCAGTATATTTTTGGGATAAGTTTCTAGAAGTGGGATTGTGGGTCAAAGGGTAAACATGCATACATTTGTGGAAGGTGCTGACAAGATTCCCCTCCAGAGGGCTGTATACCTGTCTTCCTGCCACAGTGCATGTACAGCCTACCCATAAAGTAGGATTTCAAACTTTTAGACGTTTGCCTCTCTGAATAGGTGAGAAATAGCATCTCAATATAGGTTTAATTTGCATTTTTCTCATAAGTAAGAGGGAGCGTCTTTTCATATGTTTAACGGCCATTGGTTTTCATTCTGCGAATTATATATTTGTATCTTTTTCCCATTTTAAAAAATTCAGGTGGTTGTCATCTTAATTTTTAGAGGCTTTTTACATACTGAGGATTTAGAGCCATTATTTGTGATGTAAATTGCAAGTATTTCCCCTAGTTTGTCTTTTGTCTTTTGACTTTACTTATAACTTTTTTTTTGGCCAAGCAAAAGAGTGTGTGTGTGTGTGTGTGTGTGTGTGTGTGTGTGTGTGTGTGTGTGTGTGTGTGTCTGTCTCAGATTTATCAGTCTTTTCCATTTTTTGAATCATAGTTAGGAAAATATTCTCAACTCAGTTTTTCAAAGGAGTCTCTATTTTTTTTTTTTAATGCTTGTATGGTTTCATTTTAAGTTTAGATCGCTAATCCATTTGCAATTTATTCTGATGTACAGTTTGAGGAATATGTCCAGTTCTGTCTTTTTCCTTATGGCTAGCCAGTTGTCCAGTAGCGGTAATTAAAAAGTTCTTCTTCCTCCTGATTCACACTGTGGCTCTTACATGAGATTGCCATGGGCACTTGGATCTGTTTCTGGATGTTCTACCCTGTTCCATTGTTCATGCACAAGAACCACTGGATTCTAATAATAGAGGCTTTAGTGAATCTCTTTAGTATCTGAAAGGTCTGTTTCTACCTCCACCCCAACCCACTCTTCCAAGTGACGTTTTTGATTCTCTTGTTCAGCTCTGGGGAAAAGCCTTATGCTGTTTTTACTGGAATTAATTCAAATTTATCAGTTAACTTAGGGAGAATTGACATTTTGATGACATTGAGTTTTCCTATTTAAAAATAAGGTATAGTCGGGGCCGGCCCGGTGGCACACTGCTACAGTGCGCCGCTTGGGAGCGCTGCGGTGCTCCCGCCGAGGGTTCGGATCCCACATACAGACCGGCCGCTCACTGGCTGAGCGAGGTGCAGGCGTGACGCTGAGGGTTGCGATCCCGTTGCCGGTCCCGGTCTGGTACGGGCGTGACACTGAGGGTTGCGATCTGTTGCCGGTCACGAAAAAAGACAAAAAGGAAAAAATAAATAAATAAATAAAAATAAGGTATACTCTTTTAAGTTTCTTACCTTGACTATTCTTTGTTTCTTTCTCACAGGGCTCAAACTTCCAGATTTTCAGGATTCTATTTTTGACTATTTCAATGCTGCACCTCTTGCACATGATCTGACATTTAGAGTAAGTAATTATTTTTTAAAGTGACAAATGAACTTATGATAAGTTAGAAATAGTGTAATGTGATTTGACTGCCCATGAGGCCACAAACACAACAGTAAATTGCCATTTGACATTTATCTCACAGTTGCGCTGAACATGTAAATGAGCCGGGGATGTTAAGTGTGTAATGTTAGAGACCATTAAGGTATTTGAACTGCTCTCAGAGAAGCTTTCTCAACTCACATTAAGTGGGAATTGATTAAGAAAGTGCTCAGCGTCTTCAGGGGAGAAATCTGCACCGGCCTCTGCGTAGTATTTCAGGTAGTTTTTTAAAACACAAATTCTCACACTGCAGCCAATAAGAATAATTTAGTCGTGTCACCATTTCATGTCTCCTGTGTGGCGTGATTGGTGGGAAAGGCAGTCAGTTCGGCACTGAGCACTTTGCCAAGACCCTGGTGTTGGAGCTCCACACGGCACACCTGCCTGGCCAAGCAGTCACGGGAGTGCCCCACGCATGCTCCCCAGGAGGAGTTGGTCGCCTGCTTAGCAAGCAGCTGTGGAGTACAGAGTCCATCCCCTTCCTCCCTTTCTGTGCTGCAAGTTCTCAGTGGCACTGCACGGTGGCAGCACAGTCTTTCTCTCTTTTTCTGAAACAGTAAGGATGGACCCTGACTAGCAACCACTTGAAGCAAGCCCGGAAGTTGGAATGATGAAAGCACGTGTCATTAGTGGAACTTCTGATGAGGTCTTTGTTATTGTGGTTTCCCAGACTTTTATTTAGAAAATCTCGACCCTACAGAAAAGTTGAAAGAACAGTACGATGAACATGTACGAGCGTACTTCAAAAAGTTCATGGAGGCGGGCCGCAGCGGTGGCAGATGAGCAGACCAGTGGGTGCTCTACCTTGCTCCCTCCCTGCCTGAGAGCTTTCCTTTGTCTTTCTGGGCAGCAATGAGTGCAGGGCCGGTGAGGCGGCTGCGGGCACACAGAGGCCCGTGCTGCTCCTAGCCACCCCTCCCAGCCTCAGAGCTTGTCCCTGAGCCTCCACAGCCACCTCCAGCACCAAAGTTGAGCTCAGGAAGCCAGAGAACCGCGTCCTGCTCTGGAGCTGGGGCATGGTGTAAGCAACCCGGTCAAGGACGTGGAACCAGCCCCCAGAGGTTCTGACCCCTGCTCCCTCTCAGTCACTTGGCCTCGGATGTAGTCGCTGCCGCTGCCAGCTGCCATGGGCAAGCAGAACAGCAAGCTGCAGCCCGAGGTGCTGTAGGACCTGCGGGAGAACACGGAGTTCACTGACCATGAGCTGCAGGAGTGGTACACGGGCTTCCTCAAGGACTGCCCCACCAGCCACCTGACTGGACGAGTTCAAGAAGATCTACGCCAATTTCCTCCCATACGGCAGTGCCTCCAAGTTTGCTGAGCACATCTTCTGCACCTTTGACATCAATGGCGATGGCACCACCATCAGCTTCTGGGAGTTCATCATCACGCTGAGCATAACCCCATGGGGCAAGCTGGAGCAGAAGCTCAAGTGGGCCTTCAGCATGTCCGACCTGGACAGCAATGGCAACATCACCTGCAGTGAGATGCTGGAGATGGTGCAGGCCATATGCAAGATGGTATGCTCCATGATGAAAATGCCCAAAGACATGTCAACCCCGGAGAAACACACTGACAAGATCTTCAGGCAGATGGACACGAACAGCAGCGGCAAACTGTCCTTGGAAGAATTTATCAAAGGTGCCAAGAGCGACCCCTCTGTCTTGCGGTTGCTACAGTGCGACCCCAGCAGTGCTGGCCAGTTATAAGGGAAAGGTTCCCTGATCAGTCGCAGAGAAGCATGGGCTTGTCTTGCCGTTTAAGTTTTGCTTGCAAAGGTGGATGCCTCCACCATCATTCCTGCTCTCCCGGACGTGGGGCCAAGCAAAGCAGTGACCTGCCTGGCCCAGCCAACTGTGCCTCCCTCCTCCTGACCAGTGCGACATTCCTCTCCTCCCTCCTGGCCCTGTTCTTCCAGGGCGACTCCCAGAGATGTGATGACATGCGGGGTTCAAGTTGGCTCCAGGGCACCTCTTTACCGCAGGGGACCCAGAGGACCACACCAAGGATATCAGGCAGGAATTTCCAAGATTGCGCCTGGGCCAGCTAATTTATTCTGTGATCCCAAATGACTGTGGGAAAGGTGGGGATGAGGGTGGAGGGAGAGTAGACAGGCAAGCCCCTCCCATGCACGGTTTTACCTCCCTTGTTCATTTTCTCTGACCAAAGCTGTTTGCACATATACATACTGTGGTCTCCTTTATTTTAATATATATTATGTATGGTGCAGTGAAATGTAACATGTAGGTCCCATATTTAATGCCTCCGATTGCCTTTGAAGCGTGGTCCCCTCATGGCCTGTGACCCTCCAAGTCTGGCTCTCTTGTGGTATTTATGCGCTCTCGATCTGCCCGTTTGCACAGGAAATGCACGCGTGCCCAGAGCTGTGGCGGAACTGCCGTCCGTGTAGTGGGTGCGGGCATTTGTGTATGGTCTGTTGCCTTATTGACTGGTCTGGCACTTCTGGTATTAAAATGATCATGTTAAAAAAAAAGTTCATGGAAAAATAGAATTAACTGATAGTATGAACATTTCCATGAACTTTTTGAAGTTCCCAAGTTCATGGAAAAATAGAATTAACTGATAGTATGAACATTTCCATGAACTTTTTGAAGTTCATATATATATATATATATATATATATATATATATATCCCTCACCTAGTGTTTTGCTACTTTTCATTCTCTCACCACATACATACAGACTTTTCCCCTGAACTGTGTGAAAATGACTTGCAGGCACCAGTGATCTCAGAATACTTGAGTATTTGTTTTCCTAAGATCAAGGATGTTCTCCTACATAACCACAATGTCATTGTCATATGTAAGCCATTTCGCACTGATGCCGTCGTAGTACAGTTCATATCCAGATTTCCCTTGTCCCAATTATGTCATTTGTACCTGGTTTTTCCTCTTCAGTTCAGGATCCAACTGTACCTCATGAATCACATTTAGTCACCATGTCTGTTTTGTTTCCTTTCTTCTGGACAGGGCTCTATCTTTTCTCCCCTTTAATGACATTGATATTTTTGTAGTGTCCAGACCACTTGTCTTGCAGAATGTCCTACACTCTGGATTTGTCTGATATCTTCTCTTGACTAGATGTGGGTTGAATATTTTGGCATGAATTCTACCCAGGAGATGTTATACGCTTCCCATACACGAAGGTCAGCTTACCCAGGATTGGTGATGCCAGGTGTGAGGGTTAAGTTGTGGCGTCTGTGGGAGTTGCCCCTCTGTAAGTAGGAGCAGTCAACAGGTGGCTCTGGGGGTCTGTCCACCAGCAGCCTTTCCCCCAGAGTTGGTGCGTACCAGCTGTCCTGGCCTGGCTCTGTTACTACAAAGTCCATGCAGGTTGTATTGCCCACGGCCGTTCTGGGCACACACCTGTTCACCTGCACCTATTGAAACACTTGTTTGGGGTTTTTTTGGTTTTGTTTTTTAAGTCAAATCGGCAATGCTTGTCTTTTCCTTAAAGTCCTCAGTTTTTAAGAAGCAAATGTATTTAACCAGCAGTTGCTCACCAGTTCTTTGATGAACCTGCCACTGCATGAGCCTGTACATTTTCCCACCACTGTGGTGCTGGAATCACTGTAGTGAGGAATGAGTAAAGATTCCACAGAGCTGAAGACAGTGGTTTTTCACAGGATAGAGGTGGCCGGGAAAGTGGCAGCTTTTCTGTGAAACTGGTGGACAGAGTAGAGAGTTGAGTGGCAGGTGGTTTTCAGCCAGCGCTGAAGGCATCACAGCTGTGGACAGCAGCCCCCAGAGTTTAACGTGGAGATGGAGGGCGTAACCGTCACGCCTACTCTCTGCAGCCCACCTGTCTGCCACTTGGGCTTCCTCTGCGGTGAAAGTGGGAAGAGCATCTGCTCGTAAAAGAAAAATCCCTGGGTCAGGGTCTCAGTCTATGTTAGGAGGTGTTTCCAGACTCTAAAAATCATCTTTGAGAAGCTTCCATTCCACTTTGCCCACGTTTAACGTGTTGCTTTAATGCTAGAAATGCTTTGCCAGCAAGATCAAGTCGGTGTATGTTTGAGCCAGTGTTTGCTGGGTGGGAAGTGACCCTTTTTGTTCCTTCTGTCTGTGACCACCAAGGAGTCTCTCTCCTCATCTGTGTCTTCTCTGCTAGCCTTTTGGGAGGAAGTTACGCCAACGCTAGCTTCCCATGGCTTTCCCTCCCTTAGCGAGCGGCGTTCTAAAGTCTCTTCTCCTTAATTAACATCCTTTTGACTAATTAACCAACTGGTGAAACTAGTTGGACTTTTACGTAGCTCAGATTAAATTGCTTAACTTTCTTTTGCTTCTCACTTATCTAAAGATGGAACCCTAACTCATTTGACATACCTTATTTATGGGAGAAATTTGCTTACGTTTTTGAGCTTTGATAATTAGCTCCTGGGTCTAGCCTTCCCTCATGGACTGGCTTACAAATTCAGACGTTGCGGCACATGGTTGTGCCTGTGTTGTGCGTGCACCACCATCCCGTCTGAATCTGGCTCTTCACTCAGCAGCCTAATTAATTGCAACTGCTGGAAAGTATTTATTTGATTTGGTTCATTGGGATTCTGGTGTGGAATGCAAGATACAGCTGTAAACTACTGTCTTAGGCACTTACCCAGCTACTTCTGCATATTAGCCTCCTGTTTACTTGTGCTTACACTACTAAGCATACATGTGGATCTGGCTTTTGATGATGAAGCATTAGTCTCGTTAATACTCTTTAAAATAGAGGGGGGTTTTTTTGGTTTTTTTTTTTGTCTTTTTTGTCTTTTTCCGTGTCCGGCAACGGATCGCAACCCTCAGTGTTGCCCCCGTACCGGACCGGGGACCAGCATCGGGATTGCAACCCTCGGCGTTGCTCCCGCGCCTCGCTCAGCCAGTGAGCGGGAACCGGTCTGTATGTGGGATCCGAACCCTCGGGCGGGAGCGCCGCCGCGCTTCCCAAGCGGCGCACTTATCCAGTGCGCCACCAGGCCGGCCCTAGAGGGTTTTTTAAAAGTGGTTTTGGAATGCAGCTTTAGCTTCAAGTAGATCATTGTGAAATAGATTTTTTTTTTTTTTGTCCTTTTTGAGACCAGCCGCACCGCGCTCAGCCAGTGAGCGCTGTGAGCGCACTGGTCATCCCTATATAGGATCCGAACCCGCGGCGGGAGCACTACTGCGCTCCCAGCGCCGCACTCTCCCGAGTGCGCCACGGGCTCGGCCCGTGAAATTGGTTTTTAAAAAAAGTTAGAACGAAACAGTGTTAGAGTTGTTTCCCTGCATCATGAAACTTTCAGAGAAGTTCTTGCTTCTGTTCTTAGGTCCACGGACCTCTGTTGATGTGACATTAGAAGTATTTGGCTAGTTGATCTTAAGGCTACCAGATTTAGATAAAATTACTGGTGAATAAGGTCAAAGGGTTAACATTTTCCAGTTTCTGCCCCTTAAATGGCCTGAGGAGATGAGGCAGTGGGAAGGTGTTGGTAAGGGCTTCATGATAGTGAGTGAGGCTAGATGACTTCTTGCTTTTGGTGATAACTGTGACTTGTCAGACTCCACCTGCCCACATGGTCAGTACTCCAGCCTTGCAATGCCAAGGACAGTGGCCCTCAGGGAAGGCAGGGCAGCTGTAAGTGTGGTGGGAGTCTGTGACGAGACATAGGGGTGACTAGGAGACAGGAGTAAGAAACCCTGGAACCTCAGTGCCTGATAGAATGTGCTTTTTAAATAAAGAACATGTAAGTAGAGTCTGAATTGTGCAGAATAAGTACTCTTATTCCCTCTATTTCTCTGTCTCTGTCTTCATAGGCTAGCTCAACTAGTGAGCAAGAAACACACACTCCAAAGCTAGAAGTGTCCCCATCAACTTCTGTGGCTGCAAGCACGGAACAGCAGGAGGTAAGACCGCATTGCCCTGTTGATGCTCTGAAAGCCCTGGGGCTACCCACGTCCCCTGACGTGCGCTGCCCTGGGAGAACAGAAGCCGCAAGGCCAGCTTGCCTGGTCCCTACTGGGTTTGTAGCCAGTGCCTCTTTCCAGGCTCCTGGGCCCCCTCTCATTTCCAAAATTACCGTTGGTCCATCAGCTTGATACGGGAGGCATTGACAGATGCCTGGACAATGTTGTGAATTAAAAATGCAGAACTGTTAATAACTTCTAGAGAGAAATGCACCCCAAATGGGGTCTGGCATCTAGGAGCAGTGCTGAGACAGGACGGTGCTCACCTGTCCCTGCTTGTCTCCCAGGACATGGCTCGGCCCTCGCAGAGGTCACCTGCTGTGCCGTCATCCACGACACAGGCCCTTGCTCTGGCTGGACCCAAGGTAGGGGGCCTTTTTTTCCCTCAGGACACCTTCTTAGTTTTGGAAGATAATTTTTGTGTCAGTAAAATGGACTTAACCACTTTTGTACACACATATAATAAGACCCTCGTGTTCTCTTACGGATTTCTTCAGAATAGTGTACAGTCCAGGAAGCTCTCCGGACCCTGTGTTTTCTTAATTATACCAGTGCTATAAAAATGCATTTAGTTTCAATCTCTCCATTCCCTTTTCCTCACTCCAGAACCATATTCCCTTCTCCAGTGGTAACACTGTGTTATGTATCTATCAAGTTCCTTCTCCACGTTTATTTTCATGTATCTGTCTGCACTTAGAGAACCTCACAGAACAGAACCACATGGCTTGTGGGTGAGAATTTTTCCCCAGCGTAAGTGAAAGTACACAATTGTGGTTTTGAACCTTGTTTTTTTCGTCACAGAGAGCCATGCACGTCAGTACATACAGGTCTGCCTTATTGCTTGCACTGGCGTTGGGTTATTCTGCAAGATCCCCTTTTTCTTTGGTGTAAACATCAACACAGATCACAGAATCTCCCACTGTGACAAGGCCATAAGTGTCAAGCTGTGCAAGCATTTAGCCTGTGTGCCGAGGGTGGACTTTGTTGTCATTGTTAACATGAATGTGGCTCCGGTTTACAGCAGCCCTGCCAGCTCAGGATAAGAAACTGTTTGAGACTAATTAATGGTTTGGCTTTTGGACTTCGACTCTTGTAGATCAGGGACCAGGTTGAGAGGTTGTTTATTCTGTAGACACATTTGATGCCAGAAGCATCTTTGGGGAGTGTCATGTATTACTCGCTGTCGTGACTGAGCCACGGCCTCCCTGACCTCCTCCAGCCTCTTCTATGGCCGCTCACTGGGTTTGGGTCGGTCGCTCCCTTACTTCTTACATATTGCTTACATATCTACGTCTTCCTGAGTAATCTGTCATCTTTGCATGTGCTTTGTTGGAGCTGTAGAAGCACGCTGTCCCACGTAGTCTGCACCTTTTATTCAGCCTCTTTGTCAATTGCATCATCACGTGTCCATTCTCCCAACAAGGGACAATGGGTCTCTCCTGGCTTTTGTTATTGTGAACAGGGCTGCTGCATTTCTTACATGACTCTTGGTCACACATGCAAGGGCTGCTCTGGGAGACAGCCCAACCCAAAACGGGGCATAGGCCAGCCCCCAAGAACCAACTAGGGCTGGTCCTTCCTCTAAGAGTAGGAGTTTGGCCAGAAGTAGCTTCAGCTTTGCCATCTCGGCTCTGGCCCAGAGACCTCTTTTGGTAGCAAGACACACTGCAGGAAGCACATGCTGATTTATTTTCTGGCTCAAGCTCCTTAGGTGTTTTAACCATACTCTTTGTTAGGCCCTGTTGGGACACGCACACCTAGAAGAGAAATTACACATGTTCAGCTTTTCAAGATGATGCCCGAGAAGTTCATAGGTCACCTCTTCTCAGAGTCTGGTCACCTCAGTGTTGTTCTTGTCCTTCTCTCCAGCCAAAAGCTCACCAGTTCAGCATCAAGTCCTTCTCCAGCCCCACGCAATGCAGCCACTGTACCTCCCTGATGGTTGGGCTGATCCGGCAGGGCTACGCCTGCGAGGGTGAGTGTGGCCGCACGCCCAGGTCAGCGTGCACGGCCCTGGAGAGCAGTTGAATGCACACATTCAGCCTGAAGGGGGCTTACCTGGGAGCTGTTTGAGGGCAGGTCTGTCTGTATACTCAGTGGAGGTTTGTTGAAACACGAGCCCTGCTGCACTGGGAGAGTGCGCTGCTACAGGTGACCCAGGGGTTGTGCTGAGAATTGTGATAAAGTTTCCCGTCCACGGGCATCCTAGAAAATCAGGAAAAGCAGAGAAGACGAACAGTAAAGTCTTCCATTATCAAATCATCCATAGATAACTGGCTCTTTTGTCTCTTTGCTTCTAGTTGTTAGTATTTTTAGAATTCTGGCTTGTGCCCTTGGCTGTGCTGGGATGAGATGACACAATCCGTCCCCCTCCCTCAGCCCATTGGGTGTGATTATAATTGCCCCCGTTTCATAGATGAGTAACCAGCCTGAGGTCACCCAGTGGTGAGTGACAGTACTGGGGCTGGCTCAACACCTTACTGGCTCTGAGCACACACACCTAGCGACAGTCAGCTTATGTGCTTTTCTTCATTTTATGTGACAGCAGAAGCATTTTCTTCTGTTAGTTCAGCTCATAAGCATTTTGATTGGCTGCCAGTCCCTGCATATTACTGTAACCTTTGTCCTGTAATCCATGGGCAGGTTGCCTCCTGCGAGGAGATTTGGACACTCGCCTCTGTGGGCTGAGGCCCGGGCTTTCAGGGATGACGAGAAAGCAAGTGACATAATGACACTTTCATGTTACTGAGTCCCCATGTTCCCTGTAAGGGCTCCTCAAAGCATGTTCAGATTTATTCAGCACCGAAGTCCCTGAATTTTTGTATGAATTGTGTTCTACAAATGATTTTTACCTTCTTGGATATCTGAATTTTCTTGGTGATACATGGTGATGATTAAGCTGCCTCCTCTGGGGTGTATGTTCTACTTATGCTTTGCAGGAAGCAAGCTTTGAGGGTGCTGCTCTTTCTCTTTTCCAGTGTGCGCCTTTGCTTGCCACGTGTCCTGCAAAGACAGTGCTCCGCAGGTGTGCCCAATACCTCCTGAGCAGTCCAAGAGACCTCTGGGTGTGGACGTGCAGAGAGGCATAGGGACAGCCTACAAAGGTTACGTCAAGGTAGGAGGGCGCCTGTCAGCTGACACAGTCTAGTTCCTTTTCTGTTACATCCGCCCTCAGTGTTTTTGAGGCATAACAACCAATATCCATACCTTAGCTGCTCTTGAAAGCAGGTCCTTTGCTGCAGGAAATGACTGGCCCTGGAAACAAGGCAGTCAGGCTGACATGGCCACTGCTCTGAATGGTCCAGGGGTCCTGAAGACCCCACATGGAAGCACACTCAGAATCCATCTGGGATTCCTTCCCTGCCCCCTGGGCTGAGCATTTGGCCAGTGGGCTTCAGGCCAGGGCCCCAGAGCTGAGCGCTTGCCCACTGTGCTCGAGCCATTTGAGTGCCTGTCCGGCTGCAGCTCCTGGAACGTACCACCTCTGTCCTGCGCAGAACTCTTGCTAGGCAAGGCCCCTCTGGCCCAGACACAGCTCTTGCCCCCAGCAGAGCGGGGCACCAGGGACCTGTTCCTGGTGACCGGGACAGTCAACGCACAGCTGGAAGGAGACCATGAACGAATCTGAGGGGGCCCAATGCGTTGTGCCCAGCCTCCCTGGCCCAGTAGGATATGGTCACTGCTTATCTGTAGGTCCCAAAGCCCACCGGGGTGAAGAAGGGATGGCAGCGTGCATACGCAGTGGTCTGCGACTGTAAGCTCTTTCTGTACGATCTTCCTGAAGGAAAATCCACCCAGCCCGGCGTCGTCGCCAGCCAGGTCTTAGATCTCAGGTCTGTATTTTGTGCAACACTGTTCTTGTTCAGCAATTTCTTTATTTGACTTATTTAGCCAAGGTGAGAGTTCATTGCTTGGTAATCTTTAACCCATTTATACCTTTACCTCCTTAATTATTGTACCGTTCCAAAAATGGGTGAAAGCTTAGTTATTACTTAAAGTACATGCAGACCTTCCTGCTCTGCATATTTTTTCATTGAAAAACTTGCCAGACAGGCCTATAACATAAGAAAACTGCATGTCCGCGAACAGGCAGAAACAGCCCAGAGAAGAACTGCACAGCCCACAGGAGGCCTGGCAGGCAGAGCTGCCGTGTACTGCATGCAGTCTGGGGTGCCCATACGCCATCATCCTCACCCCAGTGCCTCACGGGACAGCACCTGCTGCACGAGTCATCATGATGTAATTGCCACCTGCTCTGGGCTTGGGCCTGGCCGGGAGACTCAGTCTCCAGCCTTGGTTCTTGGGGAAGGGGTGCTGCAGTAGGTACTCTCAAGGATGGCTGCGGGAGTGAGGGCATATCAGAATCACTGCAGAGTGTCCTCCACTTCCATGTCCCCAGCCCATGGGCACCAGCTCATCCCTCGCTGTGCACAGGTGTACCTTTGCCTGTTGTGAAGAGCCACTGGTGGATAAAAGGTTGGCGTGAGCTCGAGTCACAGGCACCGTGTGAAGGCAGAACAGGGCCCACACTGGACACGGTCCAGTGCCGGCCGCACTGGAGACAGCACTTCCATACTTAGTGCCTTTTATTTTTCTGCTTTAAGTGCCAAGCACAGGCCAGATCAGTGATCCGGAATTTGTGACAGAAAATCTGACACGCACTTAAACAGTGTGAGTTAGGGCATGGGTTTTACTCTCAGCCTCCCCCCGACTGAAATGTCTGTAGGCGTCCACAGTAGTTTGTGGCTTTTGTCAGTGTGAGCATTTCCTTATGCAGTTAGGGGCGAGGGGCCTACTATCTCTTGTAGAAAATAGACTGGGGAGCTGGCCAGTTAGCAAGTTGGTTAGAGCACAGCCTTTTAACACCAAGGTCGTGGGTTTGGGACCCCATATTAGCCAGCCACCCAAAAACAAAGTCAGAAAGTAGACTGGGGGAGGGGTCCTTTTTTGTGAGAATCATAGCATAATGGTAGAGGCAGGCCCAGTGGGCATGTCTCTCCCAGCTTTCTGAATGTTCTGAATGTTTTCTTTCTCACCAGAGATGAAGAATTTTCGGTGAGCTCAGTCCTGGCCTCAGATGTCATACATGCTACACGCCGGGACATTCCATGTATATTCAGGGTATGAGTTTTCCGATTTTTTTTAGACCAATCACAAAAAAAAAATCACGTGGTTAAAACAACGATTCTTCTGAGCATTCCATTGTGCCACATCGGTGTGCTCGCGCACATCCAGAACAGCCCTCCCAGTTCTGCACCCGCTGCCTCACTCCACACCCCTCCCTACACAGCCTGTGCCCCTGTCTCCTCACCTGCTGCCTCCCAGGGCACCTGTCTCCCCACACCACCCTCCCTCCCTTTCCACTCTCGTCTACTTGCTGTGTGTCCCAGTGGCCTGTGGCAGTGTTCTCAACACTGGCAGCAGCTTCAGGGTGGAATGTGTGAAACGTGCCGCTTCAGCCTCCCTCCCCAGCATATACCCACCGCTAACTGGAGCAAAACAGGAAAAAATAAGTAGACTTCACTCATCACCATTCTTTTTGGCCAAATTAGAGTGCCGCGCCCCCCCCCACTGAATTAGTGTTAGATGTTTTGGCATTAGGAAGCTTCTAGAAGATTGTGGATCAGGGAAAGAACGCCCCCCCAACCCCCTCCACTGGGGATTTTTATCAACACAGTAGAATTTAGATTGATCACAAACCAAATCTATAATCATTTTTTACTAAATCACGTCTCTGTCCAGAAACAACCTATTATGTGCAGTACAGAAAATTGCCAGGTGCTTAAAACAACAGTCATTTATTTTGTAGGACCTAAAGCAATCCAGTTTCCTAATATGTGCTTAGGGGGTGCTCACAGGGAAACATGATTTAGGCAAGAGTTTTTTGGTTTGAGATCCTGTTTTTCCTGGACACGTTCTGAGAATCTCCTTTTTAACTATAAGATTATTCAACAAAGCAATTTTAAAATAGTCAGTACAGTTTTGGCAAAAGCAGAATTAACTAAAATCTGACCAGGGAGAGACTGCCCAGACTGTGTTTATAACTGCTAAGGGCCGCCTGACAGGCAGCTGGGGACCCCTGGTGATCTCTGCTGGCCAGTGCAGGTCAAGGTGTCCAGCCGCAACTGCTGCCCTGGGATCAGAGTACTCTAGGACACGTGTGTTCCTTGCCTCTGGTGCACGACGGTTTCCTAGCTCAGGAGGTGTGGGCGTCAGCTGTGGTTGGTTGTCTTATGGCTCTTCTCTGTTTTTGTCTATTTTGTTTTCTATCATGAAGGTGACGGCCTCTCTCTTAGGTGTACCTTCTAAGACCAGCTCACTACTCATTCTGACAGAAAATGAGAACGAAAAGAGGAAGTGGGTTGGGATTCTAGAAGGACTGCAGGCCATCCTCCATAAGAACCGCCTGAAGAACCAGGTCGTGCATGTTCCGCAGGAGGCCTACGACAGCACACTGCCCCTCATCAAGGCCGTCCTGACGGCTGCCATCGTGGGTGCGTGTCTGAGAAAGTGGTATTCCACATAGCACTGAGATGCCCAATCTGAAACCCAGATTGGGACCATAATCGAGTTGTTCATTTGGATTTGCAGATAGTTTCTCCATACGCTTTAAGAAGCAGATGATCTGTGCCCACAGTACTGATTTCCTCTATGCTGTTCTCCCCACAGATGGAGACAGGATTGCAGTGGGCTTAGAAGAAGGCCTCTATGTGATAGAAGTCACCCGAGATGGTGAGTGAGTGGGGGCTGGCTCCTCCCTGCAGTGTCCCAGGGGCAGCGGCAGGAACGTCTGAGAGTTAAAGTAAATTCACTGGGGATGTAAATTAAGTTACCATGTCAGAGAACTTTAAATATGAAGGGAAGGGCAGACAGTGGAGAAGATGAGGCCGGTGGTCGGCAGTGTCTGCTGAGTGTCCGCTGGCGCTTCAGAGCGCCCAGTAGCTAGACCTGGGCACGGAGACAAGCAGTCAGCGTGCCGCACAGCCCAGCGTCAGAAGCCATGACACTGTGCTGAGTTCCCTGCTGCATCCATTGAGCTCTTCAGGGAGAGGACAGGGGGGCAGGGGGCAGCGTCAAGGAGGAGGTCAAGGGAAGCCTCCCAGATGGAGGGACAGCTCCTTAATTCCTGGGGGCACTGAGGCTTTACCTAAGGACAACTTGGTCCCTTTGCTTCACTCTTTGACACTTCATGCCTCCCAGCAAAGAGGTGAAAGTGTTGCTGCCCTCCCCTCCCAGCCCGGGCCTGAGAGTAGAAACGGCCAGAGACCAGAACTGGACCTGTGCATGGCCTCTGAGAGCAGCAGCCCCTTCCTGACACGCCTGGGGGGTCTCAGCATGTTGGGTGTTGGGGAGGGGAAGCATGCGCCCGGGAGCCAGATGTGAGGTGGATCCTTTCCAAGAGCGAGTCTGAGGAGCTGGTGTGGCTGGAGACAGCCCTTTGTCCCTCACATGCAGCCCAAGGGCTCTTTAGTTCAGGGGTGAGCAGGAACAAGGTCCAGGTCCACCACAGGGCCACACTGTACTTGGGGGTGACGTGCAGGTCTCCAGGCTCCCAGCTGGTCCGTGGAGGGTGCATGTGAGACGGAGCAGGTGCGGGGAGAAGGAGAGGAGAGGCCTCAGAGCGGGAGCACTGTGTGCGGCCCACGCCCACCCTGTGTCCGTGTTAGCAGCAGGTTCTCCAGAGACCATTCCAGCCACCAGCCTCGTGGGTGGGGGCAGGCTCAGCTGGCCATCTGCAGTGGGAAGGGGGCTGAGGGGCAAATTGCACAGGCCGTGCCTGGCGGCCTCACGCTCTCATCCTCCTTGCTGCAGTGATCGTCCGCGCTGCTGACTGTAAGAAAGTGTACCAGATTGAGCTTGCTCCCAAAGAGAAAATCATAGTCCTCCTCTGCGGCCGGAACCACCACGTCCATCTCTACCCCTGGTCTTCCTTCGATGGAGCTGAAGGGAACTTTGATATCAAGCTCCCGGAAACAAAAGGCTGCCACCTCATAGCGACTGCGATGCTGAAGAAGAGCTCTTCCACCTGCCTGTTTGTAGCCGTGAAGCGGCTGATCCTTTGCTATGAGATCCAGAGAACTAAACCTTTCCACAGAAAGTTCAGTGAGATTGTGGCTCCTGGCAGCGTGCAATGGATGGCCGTGTTCAAAGACAAGCTCTGTGTTGGCTACCCTTCTGGGTTCTCTCTGTTGAGCATCCAGGGAGATGGGCAGTCCCTAAACCTGGTAAATCCCAATGACCCCTCGCTTACGTTCCTCTCACAACAGTCTTTTGATGCCCTTTGTGCTGTGGAGCTCAAAAGTGAGGAGTACCTGCTTTGCTTCAGCCACATGGGACTGTACGTGGACCCACAAGGCCGGAGGTCACGCATGCAGGAGCTCATGTGGCCTGCGGCTCCTGTTGCCTGTAGTATGTATATGTTTTTCTGTTGCCATATCCCTGTTGCTGCTTTTCACATCAGCAATCAGCATGTGTTCTATTTTGCTTTGGTTTGTCTTCCAGTTCCCTTAGTTGAGTAGTTATGGCAGGAGAGGTAGAGAATGGGGTCTGGATATGACATCTCAGACCAGTGGTGGGTGGGCTTGCAGGGTGGCCGCCGGCCTGCTTCCCCTTATGAGCAAGCTCCCCACTGCCCTGCACCTTTCTCTCCCCGAGTACAGAGGGCTTGTTCTTCCCTAGAGGGCTTTGCAGGAGCCCCTCAGCAGGAGAATCCCGGCCATGGTCGTGGGCGTCCTAAGGCAGGAGGGCTAGGTCATGGAAGAAGGGACATGGTGTTCTAGTTCTTTTTTAGAAGACATTCCTAATAATAATACACAACTTTACATGGTAAGAAAAAGCTAAAGGTTAAAAAAAAAAGTGGCCAGAAAATACTCAACTCTGATTTCCAGGTTATAGTCCTTTTGGGATGAGCATTTTCTGAGAGTGGTAGGAGCTGTTCGGGAAACAGTTGGGCTACTTAATTTGCTTGTTTAAGTGACTTCTGTGTGAATAGCACACTGGGCGGGAGTCGGAAGCCTCGATTGGCTTGGGAAGCATAAAGGCCCGAGAGTTTGGTGAGCTGGGCCTGGGGTCTGGACTCCATGGGTCAGCACCTCCACAGTCTGATCGCTTTTAGAAAACCTTAAACCTGGAAATCCCTCAGTGCGATACATCAGGAGAGCCTGTGTCATCAAATCCACAGGGAATAATGAGACTAGCTGGTAGGGTACAGAAGCAGATGGGGGCCGTGGGGTGTGGGAGGGTCATCGTTTTCCTTAATTACCTTAATCTAAAGCCTCCTATCTGCCTCACTGCTGGCCTTGCCGAGCTGGTAGCGTCGCAGCCAGACCCCCAGGCCTGTGAGGCGAGCTGCCGGCCTCAGTTTGCAGGCTCACTGCCTTGTGGCTCGGTTCTGAGGCTGCTGGTGCAGCAGGCATGGGGGTGGTGGTGGCCGGACCTGGGGCCTGAGTGGGAAGGGGCCCCAGCCTCTTCCCTGCCACTCTCCATCCTCATGGGCAGCCAGTACAGAGTTCAAAACCACACAGGATTCCTGCTTAACAAGGTGTTTTTTCTAGAACTTTAATTTTTTGCAAAGTTTAATGTCGAGAAGGACTCAGGTCTCTGAGCGTGATGCTTTTACAGTCCTGGCCCTGCATGACCAGCACAGACACCTGATGCTCCTGCTTTCTTTACCTCTGTAGGTCTCCTTTTTTCTCCCCCAGGCACAGTACAGATGCTAAATCAATTCTAAAGTTGGCGAAAAATAATCAAACAACTTTTGAGATGGAGAACTGCTTGTTCCAAGCCCTGTGCTGAGCACATCACGGGTGTGGCTTCACCTACTGCTCCTATCTCTCAGGGCAGGTATTGTCAGTCCCATCTTAGGAAGAGGAGACCAAGGGCCTCAGAGGTTATATCACTTGCATAAGTCACACATCAGATCTGTCAGACTCAAAGCCCATATTCTTTTCACTGTAATGACTTTCTAGTTTAAATTTTTCTTGAGACAGGACGTCTTGGTTTATCATTTTTATCAGCAAATCAGATTTCTTCCTCATTTCTGGCAATTGAAGCCCCACATATTCAGCAAGTAAGAGGAGCTTCCCCCAGAAACCCCCTATGTGAAGAAGGGTCCTCTGAAAGTTAATTCAGGACCTGCTTCTGCACATGGCACTCAAAAATAGGGCCTCAGGGGCTTGTCACAAATGTCACTTCTGAGGGCTGGCCCATGGCTCACTCGGGAGAATGTGGTTCACATCCTTGTATAAGGATGGCCGGTTAGCTCACTTGGGTGAGCGTGGTGCTGACACCACCAAGACAAGGGTTAATATCCCCTTACTGGTCATCTTTTTTAAAAAAAAACAACAAATGTCACTTCTAAGACAGTTTGGTGACCAGTTCCAGCATCTTTTGTCTTCTTCCTAAACTCTGTTTTATTTTCTTTTTCATTCTCAAAAGAAGAGGGCTGGTTGTGTAGTCTGTTTAGCATCTGTAATAGAAACATAGCTGAAGCTTTTTAAAAATGCATTTTCAATTAATAAAGCATGACATGGTAAAGATTAACTTTTAACCTTGGAAATTAGAAGAACCAGGAACTAGAGCTAAGCCAGAGCTCTGCTGGATTTTACAGCCTGCCATCTCCAAGCCCTGCATTCTACAAGGATGCCCAGAGGCCGCACCAGCGTGAGGTCAGACGTGTGATGACCATGAGCGCACCTCACGTGGCCTGCCATCCGTGGCAGAGTGACCAAGGGGACGTGGATGTTCACTGCTCCTTTGATAGTTCACATGTGTTTAATTGCTGTTCTAAATGTGGGGAAAATCTCATTAGACTTCAAATGCCAAATGGGTCACCAGTCCTTAGTCTCACCTCTGGTGCTCAGGTCGATTTTCGTAACCTAACAGATGCCATTACTTAGAGCACACGGGAAGAAGACACAGCACAAACTGAGAGCTCACTGCAGGAGAGTGATTATTCTCGCTTGCCATTGTGTTCAGACCAGACTGCAAAAGGGGTGCTGAAAATGTTCCTTAAGGGCCAGTTTCATAGAGAGAAGCCAGGTATCCTTAGCTTGGCGCGTACATGGGCAAGATCATTGTCCCAAGGCTAAGAAGTAGTTTTTGTGTGGAGGTTTTAAATACCTACCAAAAACCTGACTTCTTGGTATCTCTTAACAGAAGGAATTAGTGCTGGCCAGTTAGCTCAGTTGGTTAGAGCATGGTGTTACAACACCAAGGCCCAGGGTTTGTATCCCTGTACCAGCCATCCGTCAAGTAAATAAAAGAAGGAGTTAGTGTCAGTATTGTACAGTGCTGAATTATCGGCCCCTACCTGAATTTCAATTGTGTTCAGGCTGAATTAATAAGCTTTGGCAATAATCATAGCTTGTAAGAGAGCCTAAATGAAAAAGCAAACTTAAAAATGATCTTTAACATCTGTACTGTGGTATTTAAAACATTATAGAAATATACATTGTATATTGACAAAATAAAAATTTAACGAAAAAAAAATAAAAAGATCAATTAAAACCAAAATTCTATGCCACACATTAAAAAAAAAAAAAAAAAAAAACATTATAGAAGTGATGGCGAAGCATTTAGAAGATTGACTAGGTGTCTTTGCACTTTGAAATGAAGCTTAGCTCTAGAGCAAGAACACGAGGAAGTGTTTGATGGTGTGAACCCACGTGTGGCAGTGCTGCGCCACCTTTACACTTGGTTATGGTCCCTGGTGTGGCCTTCAGGACTGGGGCCGCGACCCACGGCACTGCCCGGGGCTCACCGCGCTTTGCTCCATCTGCGCTAGGTTGCAGTGCCTCCCACGTCACAGTGTATAGCGAGTATGGAGTCGATGTCTTTGACGTGCACACCATGGAGTGGGTGCAGACCATCGGCCTGCGGAGGGTAAGGCGACCTGGGCCTTTGGTGCGGGTAGGCCTCCCCAGCCACTGCAGGCACTCGCTTACCCTACCTGCTTTCCAATACAGATAAGACCTCTAAACTCTGAAGGCAGCCTCAACCTCCTCGGCTGCGAGCCTCCACGCTTGATCTACTTCAAGAGCAAGTTCTCGGGTGAGATATCCCAGCGCCTGGGAGTGGAAGGAAGGAGGGGGAGACCTGGGCCTCGTCTGACTGCGGCACCCGCCCACATTGCCCTGGCTCAGCTGCAGAAGGACACACAGTCACTGTGTGCTCTCTCCTTCCTGCAGGAGCAGTTCTCAACGTGCCTGACACCTGTGACAACAGCAAGAAGCAGATGCTTCGAACCAGAAGCAAAAGGCGATTTGTCTTCAAGGTCCCAGAGGAAGAGAGGTTGCAGCAGCGGAGGTAGGAGCTGGAGCCCAAAGGCCCGGCTTGCCTCGCTGTAGGAGGGAGTGGGTTAGCACCAAGAGGATTTTTACATATTCATGAATCCCCCAAATATTTCCTTTTCCCCAGAGAGATGCTTAGGGACCCAGAATTGAGATCCAAAATGATATCCAACCCGACCAACTTCAACCACGTGGCTCACATGGGCCCGGGCGACGGCATGCAGGTGCTCATGGACCTGCCTCTGGTGCGTGTCAGGCGGTGCGGGTGGGCGCGGGCGGGAACTGCTTCCTTTCTCCCTGTTCATGCAGGGACTGTCCCAGGGCAGGGCCCAGTGGGGCCTTGCCTGTATTTATTGGTGGTCTGTCACCATTTCAGTCTGTTAGGGTTTTATGAGGAAATCAGCTGTTACATGATGAGTTCTAAATAATGTCTTAGTATGTGCAGGTAACATACTTTTTCTTTTTTATTTTAAAGAGCGTGTTTTCTGTAGGATTTGACTTGGCCTAAAATTGCTAGTGCCAGCTCTTAGCTCAGAACTGACCTGAGCTCCTTGTTCCAAGAGCCCTCCTGGCCTGTGATTGTCAAGCAGACTTGGTGGCACGGCTAGGGGTGGAGTACCCAGGGCTGCTGGCTCCGACTCAGGGTACCTGCGTGCTCACTGCTGCTCTCTCCCCAGAGTGCTGCACCGCCCTCCCAGGAGGAACGGCCTGGCCCTGCCCCCACCAGCCTGTCTCGGCCGCCTCCATCCAGGAGCAAGCCCTACATCTCATGGCCCTCGTCAGGTACAGAGGACACACAGCTCCTGCAGCCCTGGCGGCCCTTGGCCCCAGGAGTTGGGGACAGGAGTGGTGGGACCCAGGCTTTCAGTTCAGCCCTTGACTCTCTTCCCTGAGACAAGAGCTGTCCTTGTTCCATAGGTGTATCAGAACCCGGAGTGACTATGCCTCTGAGAAGTATGTCCGATCCCGACCAGGACTTTGACAAAGAGGTGAGACATGCCTCTGTACCATGAGGTGGTCACGGCCATTTGCAGACTTCTTCCAAGCGAGCTGCTTCCTCTCCCCATAGCAGCACCTCGGGCCCAGCAGGCGGGAAGAGAGGAGGAAGCGCACCGGGCAGGCTGAGGGTACGGGGGCCTGGGCGGCTGTCACTGCTCCTCTGGAGCTCCCACTCCCACCTCTGCGGGCTGCACTGAGGGAGGCAAGGAGATGGGGAAGGGAGGCATGCAGAGTCCCTCGTCAGCCCCCCGGAGAGGCCACCAGGCCAGGCTGTTCTCCCTGAAAGCACTGGTCTCCCTGCCCCTGCCATGGCTTCCCGCAAGGCTGGGCCAGCCCCTTCTGACAGTGCAAGAGGGCCGTGGGCAGGAGCTGGCGTGCTGCTCTCCTGCTGTCCTTTGAGAGTGTGGACTGGGGGCTGAGGTGGTCACATTCCAACCAGCTCTCCCAGGAGCGCCCTTCCTTCCAGACATCCCGGTGCAGTTTTCTGCACTTACGCGTAACGTATAGTGGCTGCTCTTGTCATGGGACCTTCTGCATTGGCCTCCCTCTTCCTCCTCATCTGCTGGTGGCCACTTGGTGTCAGGGTGGGGTGGCAACATTCTCATGCACTCTGAAGCCGCACCACTCCATGCCTCAGTTTCCCCCATGTGAAGTGGGGATGAGGCTACAGATGAGTGAGGTGAGAAACATCTCGTATGGAGGGTGGCTTGGGGGTGGGCTCCTGTGTGTCTCTGCCCTTGGGGCGTTTCTGTCAACAGAGGGTGAAGCCCTGTTGCTGTGCGCAAACCGTAGCACAGCACCAAGATGTTCCTGATTCCCACCAAGCCGGCCACCTCCTGCTGCAACATCCACCTTTGTGTCACAGTCCACCCCATTTTTCAGTCATTTTGCATTTCTCTTAGTGGTTCATGGGGATTCTATTTCAGAGTCATTTATAATTGTGGTTAGTATCAGTTACAAATACTTTTCCCAGAATCTTTTAATTTTGTCTTTTAATTTGAACTGTTTTCACACCAAAAATTTGTAATTTTTATACAGTCTAGTTTATCTTTTTTTCAGTTCAGATAACAAATATCTCCTGTAATTTCACCAAGATTGGCAGGGTGGTCTCTTGTGTTCGTCACGGCATTTCCAAAGTGTGCGAGAGCAAAGGTCAGGGCAGTGTGCGTGTGCGTGTGTGCGCGTGCGTGCTCCGCCTCTCAGGTATTGGCCGGGCTCCTGGGCTGTGTTCATCCAGGTCCCTGAGGGCGTAGGCCATCAGCTCCTGCACCTGTCATTTCTGGCAAGGTCTTCTTCAATCTGGCCCAGGAAGTGTTTTTCTCTCCTAGCTTGGTAAGAGTTTTTAATGAGTATAGGGTGATGGATATTGATTGGATGGTTTATTAGCATTCTCCAAAGTGACCTTCATGGGTTTTTTTCTACCACCTGTTAATGTAGTGAGTCATAGTAGTAGGTTTCCTTGCATTTTTAGAATAGATCCTCCTTGGTCATGAGGTGCTATTTCTTTAGTACCCTGACAGACTCCGTTTGTGAGTATTTTGCTTAATTTTTACATTCTTGTTTATTAATAAAGCTGGCCCATGCCTTTTGTTTTCTATGCTATCCTTGCCCAGCTTTGTTTTCAATCCCGGGCCAGCCTCAAGCTCTGAGTTAGGAAGTTTGCATCTTAGTTGTAACACAGGGATTTTCCTTTTCTTGAAGGTTTCACAGACCTCCCTTTAAAACTGCCTGAAATTGGCGACTTTTAGGGGTAGGTCTTCCCCTCCCCACCATTCTTTTTCTCTCTACTATCTATTGAAATTTTTCAGTCCTCCCAAAAAGTTGTAAAAAGTGTGAACAACCTGTACATGCTTTAGCCCATTCTGCCCTATTTAATTTTTTGTAGGAACCAGTGGGAGTGAGTTGCGATGTCACAACACCTCTAGTACCTCTAAGCGCAGGCCTCCTGCCACCATGGTGGCCACACTCAGGAGCGCTCACACTGGTCCTGGACTGTCATCCGTGGCCTGTTTATGTTCACAGCCCCCTGCTGGCCCAGTCACGTCCTCTAGAGCCTTCTTAATCCAGAATCCAATCAAGGATCTTGCGTTGCATTTCGTTATCATGTCTCTTTAGTCTTCTGTGTGCAGTTTATTTTTAATCTTTCATGGCATTAAATTTGTTTTGAAAAGTACAATTCTTTTGCAGAATGTGCCTCAATCAAGGCTCATCTGAATTTTTTAATTGGGTAAACAGTGAAAAGTGCCCACCTCTCTCTCCCAGCCTCCCAGTTCTCTTCAGGGGCAAATAAATAAAATGTGTTTACACACACATGTACTCACACACGCAGACACTTGGCCTGAACTTGTGTAGTATGCCCTTTACCTAAGAGCAAGGATATCCTTTTATATCCCCATAGTACATTTGTCAAGTTGATAAAATAATCTGCAAATTCCACATTTTTCAGTTGGCCCAGTAATGTCCTTTTATGGCACATTTTTTTCTGGTACAGGCCCCAATTCATGGTCACACACACATTGCACGTCACCCATGTCTCCTTAGTGCCTTTATTGTGGAACATGTCTCCACCTGTCTTTGTCTGGCATGACAGTAACACTTGCAGCAAGCATCCCCAGTATTGTATAGAATGCTCCCTAGTTTGAGTTTGATGTTTTCTTGTCATGAGATTCAGATTGTGTGTCCCAGGCTACGATACCACACGGAGGACCTGGTGTCCTTCTCGGGGTGTTGTGTCCTGAAGCACACAGCACCTTTGTCCTCTGCGTTGATTTTGTTATCTCTTAAAGTTATTTAAGTGAAATAACATAAAGTAACCATTTTAAAGTGAGCAATTCAATGGTATTTAGTGCATTCACAGTGCTGTACAGCCACCACCTCTGTCTCATTGACAAACATTTCCACCACTCCAAAGTAAAACTCCCTACCCATTTGGCACTTTCTCCCAATTCTGCCCGCCCCTCAGTCCCTGGCAACCACCAGTGTTCTGTCTCTATGGATTTGCCTGTTCTGGACATTTCACATCTTTTGTATATAAACGGATATTGGCCTTTTCTGTCTAGCTTCTTTCACTTTGTGTGGTTTTTGAGGTTCACTCACATTGTAGCTTGTGCCAGTACCTCGTTCCTTCCTGTGGCTGAGTATTCCTTTGCGTGGATAGACCACAGTTTGTTTTTCCATTCTTCACTGATGAAGATTTGGCCTCTCTTTTGGCTATTGAGAATAGTATTGCTATAAATGTGTGTACAGTGCTTGTGTATGTGTTTTCAGTTTTTGGGGGTATATACCTAGGAACGGAATTGCTGGGTTATGTGGTAATTCTGTATTTAACTTTTTGAGGGACAGCTGACTTGTTTTCCACAGCGGCTGCACTGTTTTACGTTCCCACCAGCTGTGCAGGAGGATTCCAGTTTCTCCACATCCTCACCCACACTTATTTTCCTTTTTTTTTTAAATAGCCATTCTAGTGGATATGAAAGTGGCACCTTATTGTGGTTTTGGTTTGCTTTTCCCGAATGACTAATGGTGTTGCGCATGTTTTCTTATATTTGTTGGCCATTTGTATGCCTTCTTTGGAGAATTACCTACTCAAATCCTTTGCCTGTTTTGTAATTGGGTTGTTTGTCTTTTGGTGGTTAAGTTGTAAGAGTTCTTTATACAAGGGGTCTTCAAAGAATTCATGGTTAGAGCATGGTGCTGGTAACACCAAGGTCAAGGGTGCTGATCCCTATACCAGCCAGCCGCCAAAGAAAAAAAAAAAATTTGTGTTGAATGTGTATTATGAAAAAAACTATGCATGGCTGATATGGATTGAATTGTGTCCCCCGATGTCCATGTATTAGAAGCTTAATCCCCACTGTAACTGTTGAGGGTGGGAAATCCTATTATGGTAATTGATAGATAGGGCCTTAAAGAGGTGCTTAGATTGTGAGGACCATGCCCAAGTAAATAGATTAATCCATTGATGGTTTAATGGTGGTCATGGGTGTGGTTCTGATGTCTTTAAAAGGAGGAGTGAAGAGTTAGCTCTCTCTCTGCTTCTGCCATCCACCATGTGACACCGTGTCACTGCGTAGAGTCACCACCAACAAGGCTGTTACCAGATGTGTTCCCTGGACTTTGGACTTCCTGGCCTCTGAAACCGTATGCAATAAATATTTCTTCTTTACAAATTACCCGGTTTCAGATGTTGCTGTTATAAACAACAGAAATTGACCAAAGCAATGGATTTCAAAAAATTTTTGCACCAAAAAAACTTGTACTAACTTGTTATAACATGTCTGGAGAGGAACTATTTTGAGGCACTAAGGAGGAGAATACATTGAAAAGAGCCCCCATCAGAGCACATGAATTCTGCTAAAAATTGAAATAAGAACAAGCATCAAATTTATGGTGAAGCTTGGGTGGAAAAATGGTGATATCATTGATGCTTTACAAGAAGTTTATGGGGATAATGCCCCAAAGAAATCAGCACTTTATAAATTGATTACTTGTTTAAGAAGGGACAAAATGATGTAGAAGATGAAGCCCTCAGCAGCAGATCGTCCACATCAATTTGTGAAGAAAAAATTAGTCTTGTTCATGCCCTCATTAAAGAAGACCTACAGTTAACAGCAGAAACAATAGCCAATACTAGAGAAATCTCAATTGGTTTAGCTTGCACAATTCTGACTGAAAAATTACAGTTGAGTAAACTTTTCACTCAGTGGGTGCCAAAGCTATTGTGCCCAAATCAGCTGCAGACAAGAGCAGAGCTTTCAATGGAAATCTTGAACAAATGAGATCAAGGTCCTGAAGCATTTCTTCAAAGAATTGTAAAAGGAGATGACATATGGCTTTACCAGAACAATCCTGAAGACAAAGCACAATCAAAGCCATGGCTACCAAGAGGTCAAAGTGATCCAGTCAGTGCAAAAATAGACCAATCAAGAACAAAGGTCTTGGCAATAGTTTTTTTGAGATGCTCAAGGCGTTTTGCTTGTTGACTTTCTGGAGAATCAAAGAGCAATAGCATCTGCTTATTATGAAGATGTTTTGAGGAAGTTAGCCAAAGCTTTAGCAGAAAAACACCCAGGAAAGCTTTGCTAGAGAGTTCTCCATTACAACAGTGTTCCTGCTCATTCAAACAAGGGCAGTTTTGTGAGAGTTTCAATGGTACATCATTAGGCATTCACCTTACAGTGCTGATTTGGCTCCTTCTGACTCTTTTGTTTCCTAATCTTAAAAAATTTTAAAGGTGCAACCATTTTTCTTTAGTTAATAATGTGAAAAAGACTGTATAGACATGGTTAAATTCCCAGGACCCTCAGTTCTTTAGGGATGCACTAACTGGCTGGTATCATCACTTACAATAGTGTCTTGAACATGATAGAGCTAAGGTTGAGAAATAAAGTTTATATTTTTAAATTTTATCTTTTCATTCCATTTTTCTATGAACTTTTTGAAGTCCCTTCATATATTCTGACTACTGGACCCTTATCAGATATATGAATTGCAGATATTTTCTCTCATTTGATAGGTACATTCTTCATTCTTGATAACATCTTTGATGTATAAAAGTTTCTAATTTTGGTGAAGTCCAATTTATTTTTTTTATTTTGTTGCTTATACTGTTGTCATCACATCTAAGAATCCATTGCCAAATCCAAGGTGATAAAGATTTAGTCCTATTTTTTTTTCTAAGAGCTTTAGTGGTTTTTTAAGCTTTTATATTTGTCATTGATCCTTTTAAGTTAATTTTTGTATATGGTGTGAGGTAGGGCTCCAGCTTCATCCTTTTGTATGTGAATATCCAGCACCATTTGTTGAGTCTGTCCTTTCCCCTTTGGATGGTCTAGGCACCCTTGCTGAAAATTAGTTGACCATAGGTGTATAGATTTATTTCTGGACTCTCCATTCTATTTCATTGGTCTATATGTCTGTCCTTACAGCAGTCCCACACTGTCTTGATTATTGTTGCTTTGTAAAACATTTTGAAGTAGTAAGTTTGAGAAATGTGAGTTCTTCAATCTTTTTCTTTTTTATCATTGACGATTTGGGGCCCCTTGCAATTCCATATGAATCTGAGGATCAGCTTTTCCATTTCTGCCAAAAGGTCATCAGAGTTTTAATAGGGATTGCATTGAATTTGTAGATTGCTCTGGGGAGTATTGCCATCTTACCAATATTAAGCTTTCCAATCTATGAACGTAGGATGCCTTTCCATTTATTTAAGTCTTTAATTTCTTCAGCAATGCTTTGCATTTTATCCTATATAAATCTGTCACCTACTTGGTTAAATTTATTCCTATTTTATTATTTTGGATGCTATTGTAAATGGAATTGATTTTTACAGTTTCCTTTTCAGATTGTTCATTGCTGGTGTATGAAAATACAATTCATTTTTGTGTGTTAATGTTGTACCCTACAACTTCACTGATTTGTTTAGTTGTTTGTAGGGTTTTTTGTGTGAATTCTTTGGGATTTTCTGTGTATAGAATTGTCATCTGCAAATAGAGATAGCTTTCCTTTCCAACACAAATACCTTTTTATTTCTTTTTCTTGCCTAATTGCTTTGGCTAGACCTTCTGGTGCACTGTTGAACAGCAAGAGTGAGAATGGGCATCCTTGCTTTCTTCCTGATCTTGCAGGGAGGGCTTTGTCTCTCACCATTGAGTATGAAGTCAGCTGTGGGTTTTCATAAATGCCCTTTATCATGTTGAGGAAGTTTCCTTCTTTTCCCACTGCTTTTCTCATGAAAGATTATCATGTTTGTGACTTTTACCAAGTCATTTGTGAATGCGATTGGACACTGGTTGGTGCTGTCTCACTGGCAAGCTTGAGGACCACGTGACTAGCTTGTGCAGAGTATGTGTTCTCCTAGCAAGAAGGGGAGAGCAGTGCCACATTTGTCCCCAAGCAAACATCCATGTCTGACTGGGCAGCATGCTCCCTCCATGAGCCTAGGGTGATCGGCACTCACGCTCTTCCCCTTCTTTGTGTTAACAGCCTGATTCGGATTCCACCAAACACTCAACTCCATCGAACAGCTCCAACCCCAGCGGCCCGCCCAGCCCCAACTCCCCCCATAGGAGCCAGCTCCCCCTTGAAGGTCTGGAGCAGCCGGCCTGCGACGCCTGAAGCCACCAGCTGCCCACCTTGCCACCGTGGGGCCAGGGAGCTGGGGGTGGCCTCCAACGTCAGTGCCAAGACTGAGCTGACCTTGCAGTGTTGTCCAAGGAAGTGTAGAATCAATTTGTAGATATGAAGATGAAGACAAATCTTTATTATTATAATCAGTTTTATGCTGCGATGTTCATGGTGGTAGACCAGATCCGTTCATCTGCACAGCTGTGAGGCAACACTGTTCCATTTGCACATGAAGGACCACCACCCAGCCCCCACCCACTGAGAAGACCCCTTCCACACCAGCTTCCTCAGAAACGGTTAGAGCAGCCTGCATAGGACACGGACAGCTGGAGACATGGCCTCAGAAACTAGTCTTTTCCATGTTTCCTGAAACTGTTGCCTAGGACCTTAGGAGAATTGTAAGAAGTTGTATACCATTCCCAGTGTCACTAGAATAGTGAAGACAGAGGAAAGTGGAGGTTAGTTTGTGGCCTTTTCATTCATTTAGCCATTGCATAGTCAGCTGCAGAAGTCTGACCACCGAGTCGTGGACAGAGGCCTGGGACCAGCGTCCCTGTGCATGAGTCCACTCTGGGCCACAGCCATGCATGTCACCAGTATCTACCACTGTGAAGTCAGCTGGGCTCTTGTTTTCCACTCGCTTCCACGGTTTCTGCCTCCTACCATAAAACCAGCGAGTGCCGTGGTGCAGGCAGGCCTGCTGGGCTGAGGAGGCCAGAGCCCCGGGAGCCACGCGGCAGGCACTGGGACAGCCCCCACACCCCGTCCCACCCCTGCATGGAATCCCCATGATTAGTAGCCTTTACCGATCATGTAGAATCAGCCAACACACTCCTGCACACCAGCCCAGCCCACCACGTGGTGAGGCCCCACGCGTGTATTTAATCCCACCCTTCCTTGTACCATATGCTGAGTGATCAGGTCTGTGGCTCTGTCTCACTAAAGGCTTGTGACTAACTGTGGCAGCAAACAGGCTGCCGCTGGCGGCCAACCAGTCAACGTGCTTGCGACACTGTTGCACATGCACTTACCTGAGTCGGCACTGAGTGACCTGGCACCACTGCCCCTGCCCCTCCTGTCACACCCAGCACCTGCCCGCCCCACTACCCTCCTGGGCCTTCTGCTGGGGTCGACACCTGCTGGGGATTCTGGTTTCTACTTTTTTAATGTAAGTCTGAGTCTTTGTAATTATTGAATCGTGAGAACATTTTTGAACAATTTACCTGTCAATAAAACAAAAGACGGCAGTTTTAAAGTTCTCGGCGATTTGTCTGGATGTGGTAACATATTGCCGTGTGTGTGTCTGGGCTCCCCAGAAGTGCCTCCAGCTGGAAATTCCTCCCCAACAGGCAGTGGAAACCACCTTGCCTGCAGAAGCCATTCTTGGTAATTCACTCAAAGGCCACACAAAAGAGTGCTGTGTCCACATCGCAGGATCTGGCCTCCTGGGGCCACCTGTGTCCTGGTAGGGCTAACTTGGGCCATCGCAGAGGGAGGGGTGACTTGGCCAAGTGCTGCTGCTGGTTTTTCAGGTCCCACCAAGAGGCCTTGGCAGAGCCTAGGAGTTTGGACTTCAGCCTGAGAGCAGTGAGCCCTCAAGGGCCTTGGGTGGCATCAGGTGGGAAGAGGGTGGCATGCCCAGGAGACCCTGGCAAGCAAGAGCCCAATGGAAGCTGCCCAGGAGCACCACCCGTTTGCAGGCACTCCAGCCCCTCAATAGCCCTAGGTGACAGGAGGGGAGAGGCAGGAACTTGAGGGGACACTTGGGCCGGGGTGTGATGACACTGGAGTGGAGGATGCTGGTGGGGAGGTCTGACCCCCATTGGGTCAGTTTCCCCGAGGCAGAGATCAACCTGTGTGTGTTGGGTTGTATTCACCACTTACTAAGACCTCCACTTAGTCCTTGGTAAAACGTGGGCAGAACGAGCTCCCACCAGCGTGGGCAGTGAGACGGTGGGACACAGGGAGGTGCTCAGGACCCTGCAGCTCTGCCTGTCAGCACATCCCCACGTGAACATGGAGCTTCTCTCCCTGCACAGCCCACACTGGCCAGGACCCAGGCTGGGGGACCCATCAGGGTCACAGCCGGGGAGGGAACATGACAAATACTAGGGGCTTCAGCCTCCAAAGCTCTGCCCAGAAGGGTCCAAATGGATCTGCTCCCATTTCCTTGGTAAGTCAGACACTTCACCTGACCTCCATCTGCCCAAAAGGGGGCACTGAGAGGATGCACAAAGGCACAGAGGAGCCTCCTAAAACACTTGACTGAAACAGCGGCACTGAAAAAGCTGGCACGTTAGCATCAGTGAGTGCGGGGGGTGGGTAGGAGCTTTGGGGTCAGACAGTTTGGTCTCAGCTCCCCCGTTTGGCATCTGCACCCCACAAGGCAAGCATGAGGATTAAAGTGAGAAGTGACTGGAGCGCCTGTGAACAAGTCTGACAGAGCGTCCAAGTGGCATCCACACAATGGAATATATACAGCACTGAGGGTGACAGATGGCAACTACACAAAGCACAAGTGTGTCCCATGAAGAAATGTGGGGCGCAAAGGGCACAAACTCCATGACAGAGAAGCTCTGCAACAGCTAAACTAACCCTAAGTCAAAAGGCGATGGAGTGGTTACCCCAAGTGGGGGCCAGGCTGTGACTGGGGGCCAGTGATGCTTCCAGACCCAGATGCTGGTTACACAGAAGGGGTCGCTTTGCTACAGTTTAAGCTGCGCACACAGGTGGGTTTCTTTGTCTGTATGTACCTCAGTTGTGTCAGTGCAGTGCTACATGCACACTGTGATTCCTGTTTGATATGACTTCCCACTGTCGCCCGGTGGATGTCCCACCTCCACGCTACTCAGCGCTGACACTGCCCCCGCCACCCTCAGAGCGGGGAGGGCAAGGCCTGGCCTTGCAGCAATGGACACCAAATACCCTGGGTGGCGGGCAGGCTGCCTGCCCAGCAGGATGCCCCGCAGCGCTCTGACATGCTCCATGCACTGGGGCAGCTGTGCCCCTGTTCCCCAGCATAGGGGACAGGCCCACCCTGTCCCTCCAGGACAGCATATGTAGCCTGCTGCCCAAGACCGTCCCTGTTCACTTGGCTGGCCCTCTCCCTGTCCCAGCCCAGCAGGACCTGGGCCGGGGAGCGTGGCATGATGTGCGGAAGGTGGCGGCCTGGCCCTCCCTCCCCAGCCCACCACCCTGCCCCTGCTCCTTCCCTGCCAGGCGCGTCCCAGAGCCTCCAGCCTCCTGGCTGCTTCCTGCTCAGCTCCACCCCACCCCGCAGGGAGTGCCAGGGCTGCGCCCGGCGGGCGACCAGGCAGGGACCCCCCTCCCACTGTCCAACTGCGTGACCCAGCGAGGGCAAGACCGGCCTCCCGGCTCCTCGCCAGGAGGGGACAGGGAGTGGGGCAGGCGGCGCTGTGTCCAGGCTGACGGCAGGTGCAGGGAACTCCTTTATTGGGCACGGCCGCCCTGTCCTGGGCCTCCAGCGGGGGATGGGGCAGGAGGGCGGGGGTG